CGCACCGGCCATCCCTATATAGGATCCGAACCCGCAGCGGGAGCGCTGCTACGCTCCCAGCACCACATTCTCCCGAGTGCGCCACGGGCTCGGCCCTGTCAAAGAATATTTTAAAGGACTCTTTCTTTTTTACATTCCTTGAGAAAATTTAAATTCCAGACTTCCTGATTAGAGTCAGATGTTCCCTACGGAGAAACAAGCAAGAGAGTAACGAACAAACCTTTGGTGAAGAGAGAAGTGGGGGTAGAGACCATTTATGTTAATAAGGCATTGAGCCCCACAACCTGCTCCTGGGGTATGTATGGGGATGGGGGTGGTGTGTGTGTGTTGCCCAAGAAATGAACAGGTTTTGGTGAAGGTAGCATTCCAAAGACTGGGATTCATTCTCTGCTTGGACCTCTACCAGCTATGTGTGTGACCTTGACTACAGGTCACTTTTGTGAGCCTCCATTTTCTGGTCTGTAAATGGTATGAGTAACACCGGTACCTCAGAGGGTTGAAATGGGTTAGAGACTGACCTGAGGGGTATGAGCTCTCGTTTATGGCAGATCTCCCCATCCAGGCCTCTAGTATTTGGTCAGAGTTCATGGCAACCAGGACCTGATTGTCAGCACTAGATGGTTGTACATCATGGATCTTATTACTTAGAAAGGTAGTTTACAGGCTCCTTTAACAGAATTGTCTGTTCACATTCACTCTGAGAAAGGATTCTAGAAGTGGTAATAGAGCATTTCAGGCCAGTGTCAGAACAGGTGGCCTGTGAGATCTCATTTATGGTCCTGCACTGGGACACAGGAATAGAAGAGGAAAGTCCTTTAACCTAAGACCAGTCAGCATTTTGATCAGGATAGGACACCCAGACCTGCAGGAGGTAGCAGCCTAGATTCGAGATGAAGTCCTGCCGGGTGGCCCTCTCTGGTGCATCATCCATTAATCACTGCCCTATGGATGACTATTCCCCTGACTTTTCCCTGGAGTTCTGAGTGCCTCTAGCATTCCATTTCATACAGTACCTCTTAGCAGCCAGTGGATCAACAGTGCATGCTCTGGCTCCTCTCCCTGTTTGAAAATGATCTGGAGGACTGGCCCGTGGCTTACTCAGGAGAGTGCAGTACTGATAACACCAAGGCCACAGGTTCAGATCCATGAAAAAAAAAAAAAAGATCTGGAATTTTATAGAATAAATGGTGCTGAATTCATAGTAAGTTAGGGGGGTTCTTTTTAGCAAATGTTCACACTTTTGAATCCTAAGGTTTTGGTTTTTGGTTTTGAGGGGTTTTTTTGCTTTGTTTTTTGGTTTTTGTGGCTAGCCTAAAGCCTAAGATATTAAAACAAAAGCTGCAAGAGCATGCTGGGTTCATGGCACAAGTGGATTTGCTGTTCTTGGTTTGCTTCAAGG